CCTCTGATGAAAATATTAAAGAATCGGTAAAGTTGTTAAGAGCACAATTTAACATGCTCCTGGCGGATCAAGCTGCAACTAACTTATTGTTTATGAAACAAAATACATTTTGTAACGCCAATAAACCAGGGAGATGGTTGGCCTATCAATTAAGAAAGAAGCAGAGACAGAGGATAATAGATAAAATAAATTATAAGGGTAAAATAGTCTTCCAGAAGGAACTGATTAAGAAATCTTTTTTAGATTATTATCAAAAATTATATAAATCTACTAATGTGCAAATATTAGATATAAATAAATATTTAAGTGAGGTTAGTTTTCCCCAATTGACAGAGGATCAAAAACAGGAAATTAATGGTTTAATTACTAAAGAGGAAATTGTGACAGCAATTAAGCAACTGAAACTAGGGAAAGCACCGGGTACAGATGGTTTGACAGCTGTTTATTACAAAGTCTTAATGGAGGAGATGATCCAACCATTAGGTGATCTTTTTAATGATATTCTACAGGGCTTAGAGATTCCTCCTTCATGGCGTAGTGCTTTTATTTCTTTGATTCCAAAAGAGGAGCAAGATCTCACTTTACCAAAGAATTATAGACCCATATCTCTTTTAAATGTGGATTACAAGATATTTGTAAAAATTTTAGTAAATAGGTTCATGAGGGTTGTGCATCATCTTGTGCATAAAGATCAATCTGGGTTTATAACTGGTAGATATATGAAAAATAATGTTAGACAAATTATTAATTTATTAGAATATTTAGACAAGAACAACCAAGTCCCTGCAGGGTTGATTTTTTTAGATGCTGAAAAAGCCTTTGATCAACTGAATTGGCATTTTATGTTAAGAGTAATTGAAAAGATGAACTTTGGTGAAAAGATATTACAAGCTCTCACGGTAATTTATCAAAAACAAACGGCACAACTTATTGTTAATGGAGGTTTGTCAGAGGTATTTACAATAGAAAAAGGTACTAGGCAGGGATGTCCACTATCACCGTTGTTGTTTGTTTTAACACTGGAAATATTGTTGATCAAAATTCGAGATTCGCAGGAAATTAAAGGAGTAGAAGTTAATAAAAAAGAATACAAGTTAAGAGCCTTTGCAGACGACTTGGTGGTTACTTTGTCACGACCTATTAGTTCTGTAGTAAAGTTATTGCAGTTAACTCATCAATATGGTTTGGTTTCGGGTTTTAGGATTAATGTTAACAAGACTAAAATCTTACCTAAAAATATGACTATTCAGGAGAAGCAGACTTTGGTTAACTTGACGGGTTTTGAAATTGTTAATAAGGTAAAATATTTGGGGGTGATGCTATCTGTCTCTAATGCAAAATTATTTAAAAACAATTATGATAGGTTGTGGGTTAGTGTACAGAAAGACTTGAAGAATTGGGAGAAGTTGCAACTATCTCTCATGGGAAGAATTGCAGTGATAAAAATGAATATTCTACCCAAGTTTCTTTTCCTGTTCCAAATGTTACCGATTTTGAAGAATGAGATTAATTTAAGTGAATGGCAGAAGGGTGTTAATAAATTTATTTGGGCAGGGAAAAAGCCAAGGGTCAAGTTTAAAATTATGCAAGATTTCCGTGAGAGAAGTGGACTCAAGGTGCTGAATTTGAAATTATACTATGATGCTGCGGTTTTAACAATAATTAGTGACTGGGTAAACTTGACAAATCTCGAGATACTTCATCTAGAGGGATGGGATTTACTCTATGGGTAGCATGCCTATTTAATATTTAACAAAAAAGTGGACTGGGTTTTTAAATCTCACATTATAAGAATTTCCTTACTTAGGGTTTGGAGAAAGTATTACAAAAATGATTTTAAAGTACCATTATGGGCTATACCCTGGCATGCGATAGAGGGAATAAAAAGAGGTGTCAAAATGGACATGGTGTCTTATAGACAATTACTCAGATGGGATGGACAAAATTGGCAATTAAAACTACGGGAGGATTTAGCACAAGAAAATATCATTTATTCTTGGTTCCAATATAGGCAACTAGCAGATAGATGGAAGGTGGATTGTAAGGTGGGCTTTCTTAGAGAAGATGAAAATCTTATTAAGCAAGTGAAGGATCAAAGACAAGCCCATATTAAGAGAATTTATGGGGTGCTAGTCGAACTGGATTCGGAAACGGAATTAATTAAAGATTGCATGATTAAATGGGCCCAAAACTTTGGTGAACCAGTTCGATTGGACATATGGGAAATCATATGGGTAGGAAATGTCAAATTTACGCAGGCACAGAATTTAAGGGAGAATTTTTACAAAATGTTTTATAGATGGCACCTTGACCCACAAAAAATGTCTTTCATATACCCTGACCTACAGCCTAAATGTTGGAGATGTGACTGTTTGGATGCCACTTATTATCATATTTGGTGGTCGTGTAAAGAGATAAAAGCATTTTGGATTAAGATATGGTGGAATATCCAGAGAATTTTTAGAAGGAGGGTAAAATTTACTCCGCAGTTATTTTTGTTGGGTATAACTATTGATTGTGATACAAAGGAGGCTATATTGATGTTAAATTTGATCACAGCCGCAAGGCTGTTAGTAGGACAATATTGGAAGAAGGAATCCTTGCCTACACTGCAGGAATGGTTTTCCAAAGTGTCTTATCTGGCGGAAATGGCAAAGATTTCGGCTTTTTTAAAGGATCAAATGCAAGAGAAATTTCTTGCTGTTTGGGATAAATGGATAGAATTTATACAATTTAAATTGGATATAAAAAAATACCATGTTGCCTTTTTATAATTTTTATATATATATATATATATTTCCTAGTTTTAAACTTTTTTTTCCTTTTTACATATATATTTTCTAATTCCTTTTTAATTAAGCCTATATTCTGCTCTGGGAAGCTCAGGGGGGGAAGGGGGGGTGGGGAAGGGGATGTTATGTTTAGTTTTTTTGTATTTTTTGTTTTTGAATTGTTGTATTTTTTTTCTGTTTTTCTGTCTTTGTCTTTTCTGTAAAAATTTATAAAAATGTTCAATAAAAAAAAAAAAAGAGCAGAAATCAATTCTGCTTCTCTCATATTGTTACATGCAGCCAGGAAAAGGTTGCTCATGGATTCTTCAGCATTCTTAGATTATTCTGACAAATATCAATGCTATTTCAGGGAGTTTGGGGGGATTCGAGAAAGAAGTTTAGGTATCAAGTATGTTGTTGTTGTTGTTAATTGCGAAATCGTGTCCGACCCATTGCGACCCCATGGACAACATTCCTCCAGGTCTTCCTGTCCTCTACCATCTTCTGGAGTCCATTTAAGTTCACACCTACTGCTTCAGTGACTCCATCCAGCCATCTCATTCTCTGTCGTCCCCTTCTTCAAGTATCAAGTATGCCTGTCATCAAACCCTCCATTTCTACTTTTAAAACCCTCCCAGTGTCCAAAAGGATTCCCCCCCTCCAGATTTAGTTAGAATTATAAATGGGAATGATCGCAGGTGGTCTCCAAAAGCCTTCAATCCCATTGCCATGCTTAAACTTCATGTTCCAAAAGTGGATTGAAAAAACTGGACACATCTGCTCTCTATCACCACATGGCTTTCTTCAGGTGGTCTGGAGTCTTCCCAAAGGTGATGCTAAGGAGTGGCAAACTTAGAAATATGGGTGTTATGTGCAAAAATCTCATGGATTAACGATTTCTAGTTTGGATTCTTGCTAAGAATGAGATTACCTAGATCTCGGTCTGTCCAGTAAGACACATACACTTCTTTAGATGGGTAAATAGAAAAGGTAGATAGATTTTATTTATAGTATAGAGGGTATGCTACTATTGTTTAAAGATACCAAGTTTAGGCTTTCATTTTCTTACTAAAATCATTGGATTTGACAACTCTTAATAAGCTGTGCACAGAATTTTCCTTGTTGAGTTGAAAGTTCAACTAGCACAGGATACTGCCACTAGCCTATATCTATCTATATAAATAAAAATGTAAATGTTCGTTTGTTCAAAATCTTAAATCTCCGAAAGGTCTTCACTGATTGCTTTGACATTTTGACACAATGTTGCATTCGAATACGCACATGTTTTTATATACCTATATTATATAGATGTCACACCTGTGACAGGTAAAAACATGCTTTTTACAGCTTTTTACAGATTACGTCCAACAGCTCCATCTGTTGGACGTAATCTCTATATCTGCACACACAATGGAATAACAAAAAATATTGTATACCCACAAGCATTGTGAAATTAAACATATTACAAATGTGCGCTTTCTCTTTTCTTTCTTTTCCATTTAACCACACTGAGCCACAGCAACACGTGGCTGAGTACAGCTAGTGTTTTATATGTTTGTAAACTTGTAGTTCTGTTTCCAACTTAGAAGAGCCAAATTTTGAAAGATGACTTTTGGGGGGAGTTGCCCAGATCATCTGTGTATTATCAGACCTATATGCCTACCTTATGCTATGTCAGCTCAATATTCCATCAAATCTAATTTAGTACTTATTCTGTAAATCGGCAGTTTCCAAAGGTCTTAGGATCATGGTAGGATGCTTTTGGACTGTGTATGAATGTGGCCTTTTGTACATCCATAGCACAATATCTATGGAGATTCTCAGTCATCCAGATCATGGTTGTCCCAAAGGTGCTTTTTCCAAGAGGCAACTGGACTTTCTTTGTTTTTCCTTGAAGATGCTTCACTTCAGTGAAGAAACTTCTTGAATGAGAAGCAAAACGTCTTCAAGGAAAAACAAAAGAAATCCAGTTGCCTTTTGAAAAAGCACCTTTGGGACATGTATGGCACAAGAAACGCCATAGGGCCTCCAATGCAAAAATGTAACACAATCCTAAACCATGATCTCTCAAACAACAGCCAGATTTGGATATCTACTGTACATTGTGCCAGTAACTTGTGCCATTTTGTAAATGTGTTGGTTTGCTGATTTTGTCAAAATAGTGTCCCCCTCTCCAATAACGACAGCAGTCATCTGAAATATCAAACAAAAAATGAGACACACACAGTGGCAGGTCATAAGTAAAAACCCTGTTAATATAGAAGATTGAGGTGTTCTTAATCTGTGCCACAAAAAGATGCGCAGAAGGATGGTTTTACATGGAAGAGATTCTGCAACATTCAAGTCACATGTGTATACAGGGGGAGAAAGCACCATGAGGACTAGGGATAATTGTCAAAATATTCAAACAGTGAACACTAAAGCATTACAATCAGTTATAGGCTGGAATTAGAGCATAATTAAGGAAAAGAACATGGGAGGAGATGAAAAAGCTCCATGGTACATCAAAGTTTCTGGTTTGGCTGAAAGTGTACTGGGCTTTGGTGGATGAAATCTAATTTGTGTTGGAGTCTTGCAGACTTTTTGCTTGTTCTCACTCTTGCATGAAACCTGTACAAGAAAAGATTAAGCAAAAACTAGTAAGCTGAGTCAATACACAGTGCAGTTGTCTGTTAAAAAACTTAGTCACAGAATATTAAGTAGATAGGGATTCAAACAGATGGAAAGGTTCTTTTGACATAATAATAAAAAAGACCAAAGAGAACAAGGTTGCATTTGCATATAAAGTTAAGACATTTAGGATGTTCAAAAAAAAAAAAAAGTGCAAGAGCCATTTTGTGCATCAAACAGTTATTTTGAGGTAGCCTGTGCCCAAATTGAAACATGTATGTTGATCCATAAACAAAATGGAAAGGGAAAAGGGTTGTATCTGAACAAAAATATTTTGAAATTGGGAATGGTGAAAATGCTCAGAACATTAATGGTTGAGGGAAGGAAGCAAAGATGCTGGGAAAATGGGAAGGACGGAGCAGACAGGTGCCATATACTACCCTGGAGCATAACAGCAGTGGTGGTAGTGAAGGGAAGGGAATGCATTGGAAAGAAGGGGTGGCAGGAATCCTGGGGCAAAATGCTGCACAGAAAACTGCTGAGGGGAAAGAGGATGAGGTGCATCAGGTTGGCCAAACTCACACTTGTCCAGAATTTGTTTTATCCCAAATCCAGAACTAAGGTCTACCTTTGAACTATCTATGTTCAGTTCTACCAAACAGTATCTGCTCTGAAATAGCTCCTTAGAACTCACCTAACACAATAGTTATGTTCTAGGTTATTTTCTGTTCTGCGCGTACCTGTATAGGACAGAGGGTTTTGTTGAACTAACACATAGGAAAACCTGCTCGGTTTATTTATGACTGGAGAGTCATGGGCATTTTTAGAATAAGGAGTATACCTGTCCTTTGAGTAGCACACTAAGGCCAAAAGCAAAAACTGGATGTGTCATGAGAAAAACTATATTGTCATTTTAATTTATCAATGCTTATTAATAATGGGAATAATTATTTCTCATATACTTAATATCTCTTCAATACTAACAACTGTGAGGTAACCTCGAAGAGCTTCCTGCGAGGATTTCAGGAAGATGCAGGCTGCCTGGGCTGAAACTGTGCTGCTGTGTACCAAGCTGTATTGGAGGAAGTTACACATTGTGGCAAAACTTAAAAAAAATAATAAAATACACAATGGTTTAGCATAATGTGCATACAGACTGAGCACAGCTATATGACATTACAAGAAAGAAATATGATAAATAAATCAAGCAGAGCACTATCTGGAACGATCGGCTTTGAAAGTTATTTACAAATAAAACCTAATTTGACCTAAACAGTACTTGAGAATAGGGAAATTTTGTTCATTCATGGATTTGATTTTATAGATATCAGCCTAAAAGATGTATAGAGACCATTACTGGAAAGCAGCAAGTGTGATCATTTTAAATCATCTATGGATTCCAAAATAATTTGATTTTCCTTTGTCTTAAAAATGCATCACAGGTATTTTAATTTGATGGATCTGAAGGAAAACACCACCCCACAATTCTGTGTAATGTTAACTTGACATCAGCAAAGCTGAACTTACTACAAAATGAATTCATCATCACTAATGAAGCACTGCTAAATTTCCAAGGATATATTATATTGGGGACTCAGACAAAGCAGGTCAGATGTCTGCTTACAGTTCCAGTGAGAAATATCTAAGCAATCGTCTAAGAAACACCAATAGGAGTTACAGCCAACCATTTTCATCAGATTTAATATTTAACATCTCAGGGCTGAAGCCATTGAGAATTGGTAAGACTGTTTTTAGTTACATACATGAGGATCACTAGTAATGATGATCAACTAATGTTTTAACAGTAGGCTAGAAACTGGTTTCCCAAGGGGCAAAGAAAATATTTTTACTTCAGTGCATATTAAATGCAGCTTGCAGAACATGATACACATTCCAGCAGGGAAGGAAATAGAAGAATGTGTGGGGAAAAAGTTGGAAACTGATAAGAGAATGCAGCCTATACTTAATTCTACCTATTGATTGAAAACATTTATATAGCTGCCCATCTTATGACAAACTCTGGGTAGCTCCCAATGAAAAATTATATAGACTGTATGTACGCTATCCAAATTGTCTTCTCCTGGTGTCTGTTTGCTTCGGTTCCCTATTGTTACCTTTTAAAAAATCAAGTGACTTTTACAAAGACTTCATCAGTCTCTAATGTTTTCTCATTGAGTCTGAATAACTTACCCCTGGAACCACTCATTGCTCAGGGAAGTACAAAGAGCACAGTAAACTGGCACTGGGGACAGTCCAAATTTCTGGATATAATTCCATGTTTCTTCCAAAAGTGAAGGTAATTTTGACAGAAAAACAAGCATACAAATTTCACCAAAAGCACATCTTCTAAATGCTGAGTGGTTAAGCCTACCCTATTTGGGTGACAAAAATCCAGATAATTGCTAGACAGCAAGGAAGATGTAGAGAAAACTGCTTGAATGTGATGCCATCTTGTGGACATATGGATATTTGAAAGGCTACATCAGAATTAGACTTGTAATTTGACTCCAGGCAGAAACCGTTAAACTATTTTACATTTTACAAATATTTTTATTTACAAATTTGCCTATTTCAGCTCTAGAGAATTCACTGCCTCTAGACTTTGCTCGCTGGCAGGTTACTTACCAGATTTGCTGCATCTGCAGTGTTCATCTAACCTATCCTTTTAAAAATGACGGAAGACCACTAATATCACAGTCACACTCTGTGCCTATCTGCTTCAACTTAAATCATACAAATATATATATAAGAAATTGTATGAATGCTTGTGTGTGCTTTTACCATATGTGAAATTGCTTACATATTTAAAATCTTGTAAAGAGTAAAAATCTATGAAAACTGTTGAAGAATTTCTCTTTTTACCCCATTTAAAAGTTTTGAGTTTTGACCCCTCTTTCCTTACCTCATTCTGCATTTGGTGAATATTTTACGTCACTCAAGCCAGGGAATGTTTCCTTACTGAGTTCCATGGAATTATCTAGAATTAAAGTATAAAGAAAGCTGATTTCTAACTGAAGCATTTAGCTCCCTTCAGTTTGATGGAAATCCTATTTGGTTTGGTTTTTCGTATGGCTGATAGAGGACACAAGCAAAGAATTCTGTACCTGATTGCTCAACTTTGATAATAGGTAAGCTTAAAGCAAGAAGGAAAGTTCAAAACTGAAGGAACAAAAAGGGAAAAAAATACAGAATTAGATTTATCCTTTTCTAATGTCCAAAAATTGCCATGAAAGAAGGGGAAAAGAGAACAGGCTTTTCTTCTTATAGTACAGCATAAAATATAATCGAGAAAAGATGTAGGAATATCAAATTTCCATAATCATTACAGTAATCTTGTGGTGGTCGGCAGAGATAGCCATTCCTAATAAGGAAGACACCTAAACAATAAGAATATGCATCATGATATAACAATGCAGGCTTCATTTTTTTATGTTTGTACTGCATGTCACAAGTACATAAGGGACAGAATTTGAATCACAATATGGCAACGCACTTTTCATTAGTTTTGTCCCTTTCCCCTGCAGATGCTTTTGGTTGTTGTAAGTTGCACTTAGAAGATTTTGGGCGGATGAAAGTTTTAATATGAAAGTAACATAAAGTGATAGAATGCCTCATACCGATTAACCTTTTAATATATATGTGTGTGTGTGTACACATACACACACACACAGGCGGTCTACTATATAGTATTTTATATAGTCTTTGGGTGAAATAAACATTACATTGTATTACATTAGTATTCCCTCAAATCAATAGGAAATTAAATTTGGCAACTGAAGGGAGCTCCAGGACTGTGGAAATTCTAGAGTGGCTACATATGCATTTGGGGACAAAGACTGTCCCTCTCTCTTTTCTGGAAGTATGTAATAGGGTGCTGTTTACTTTCTTATGCCTCTTTTGAATTATGATGTGAGTCAGCGGCGTTTCTATTTCATTATTTAAATAACCACCATAAGTACATGGATTTTCTTCTGATATTCTTCTGAATTTAATTTGGAATATAAGACAGGCTTTGCCACTAGATCAGACGAAAAGCCTGTCTGATCCAGCTTCCTGTCCCTAAATGAGGACCACAGCCCCTCCTCTGCTTATCAACAACCACCTCCATAGCTAGAGAAAGGACACAGATCAGGTGAGCAGGTAGAAGATATGCTGGGATTGCTTGTGCCTCACTTTTCACTTTCTCACTTTGGACATTTGTGTACCCAATCACACTTGGCCAATAAAGAATTCTGTTCTGTTCTATTCTACTCACAAAGGACCCTTAAAGAGGCGTATGCATCCTCAGTTCACAAACACACCTACCCGGCTCTATGGTCCTTTTGCCCATCAGTCCAACAAAGAAATCATGCATGTCTCCTACGGAAATATTAAGTTTATTAGACAAAACAGTTTTCAACCAACTGGGAAAAAAGCAACAGTCTTGAGTTAATCTAGCACTTGTAAATCATCTGTTAGGCTTATTTACTGCATTCTGAATTTCAGAGATAATTCTGAATATGACATGATGGTAATAAGTGCATGTTTGTATATAACAGTCCACTTTTATCTATATTAAATAAGTTTCTAGAATGGGCTGTTGATTAACAAAGTAGAATATTTATTTCATGGCAAAGTATAGGGGCTGTATATAAGTGTCGCTCAGAGACTCCATCTGAATCATTTTTGGCTCATGGCTTGTTACTATCCTATCTTAGCTTCTGTGGTAATTCAGTCAATAAAATAACTAACTGAAAGCAGATTATTTCAATCATTTAATAAAAAAGAGTTGTTTTACGTTGGGGTGGTTAATTTTGTTTTTAATACTGTAAACTTAAACATTTGAAGAGGCAAATAAACTGAATGGAACTCAATGTAACTTAATAATAGAACAACAACAGAACCAATCCTTTGTCCTGGTTGGTACATTCTGATGTCAAAATCTCTTGACTTATCCAGGAGCCATGCTGGCTACAGCTATTCTCAGTCATGTTTTTCTATCTCCTTTCCTGAACATCTTCACATTTTACATAATATTAGAGATGTAGCTGGGGAAACAAAGGATCCAAACGGAGATTCGTAATTCTAGTCAATCTGAAAGTTACTTTTAGTCCCATAATCCACACATTTCTCAGAAAAAGTCAGTAAAAATATTAATGTTAATTTTTATGGGGGGGTTGGAAACATTTTTTCCAAACATTTTTTCATACTTTTCATAGTAAAATTCAAATCTATGTACACTCAGTAGATACATGTAATTTTTTTCTTAAGATATGCATTTTTATGTGTACATTACATTGTGACATACAGATACAAAAACGTCTAGCAAAAATGGATTTTGCTATGCAGACAAGTCTTTTTTCGTATACTGGAAAATCAGAAATGTATTTAATGATCTAAAAATCTCACTGAACTAAAGCTTACTAGGCAGACTTAATGTCTTCTTTTTTCAACCTTATATCTTATTCTCTATATTATCCTCCATTGGACCTAACTAAGAACTAGAAAAAATTCTTGCATTAAATGCTAAATTTAAAAGGGAAACAGGTGAAACAAAAATTCCCTCAGAGCTGGCTGCAGATAGCACAAAGCTGGTTTGTTTTCAAAAAAGGAGAAATGCATTTAAAATAGTGCCAAATTGATTTTCTCTTCAATTCTAATGTCTGTGGAGATTCTCAGTCATCCAGGTCATGGTTGTTCCAAGGGTACTTTTTCAAGAGGCAACCGGACTTTCTTTAGATTCAAACTGGACAAGAGAATCCAGTTGCCTCTTGAAAAAGCACTTTGGGACTTCAATTCAAATGTGCCTTCACCTTACGACTACATGGCTGAAGTTATCCTTCCACCTTATCCTTTCCAGTGATGGACCTGTACTACTAAAGTTTATTCCATCAGTGACTGAAACATAGAGAAAGCAGTGCTGATTGCAGAGATCAATTGATTAACTTACGTTTCTGGGAAGAGGCAAGGGTCTGGGGATCTGAAAAAAAAATACAAAGCAGAAGGCTAAAATGCACCTAAACCCTAACTATATCCCATTTTAATGAAGAATGGAACAGATACACACTGCAATTTATCATGAAAATATATCACTATGTTCAGGTTTTCTGTTTAAAAATCCACCCCTCCTCCAATCATCAAAATCTAATATGGATGGATTTTTTTTATAAGTCACATGTAACTACAAACTTAATGAACACACAACCATACAAAGACATGCAGTCTCCTTCTGTCATTTATACACTTTTCTCTCTTTCTCTCTCCTGTTCCTTTCTCCGACATTTTTGTTTAATTCCCAAACTCTGTTCCCATTCTAAATCTTTTCACTTCTGCTCTCTTTCCATTTTCTTATTTCACTTACTACTTTTGAACAGATTGAGTTGACAAAATTTATCTGACCTCCAACCACGCTTAGCTTAAGATAGAAGAAATAGTTTTTAAAGTAAACCCAGTTCTTGGAGTACATGACGCACAGTTGAAAAACATACTTCATTTTTAATCCCTCCCCTCCTGGGTTAACATGTACAGGTAGTCTTCAACTTATAGTCACAATTGAGCCCAAAACTTCCGTTGCTAAGCAAGGCAGTTATTAGAATAGAAATAGAATAATAACTTTATTGTCACTGAATGTACACTAATCGGCATACATTAAAATGAAATTTTGTTGCATTCAGCTCTCAGATGGTCACCACCTCCGATATACACTACATAAATAAATACAGAATTATGCATATACCCACATATATTATATGACACAGAGAAACAACAGTCTAGTTTGGGTTATGTATACATGTGCATGGCAAGAAAAACGAATCTTGCGAGTTTGCCAGATGGATGGCATGGGGAACAAAGCTATTACAGAATCGGGTAGTCCTGCTATAACAGAAACAGTCTGTATAACAGACTGTAAAGTGGGTGTGTGGGGTCTCTAACAATGCTTTGTGCTCTAAGCGCGTAGCACTTAGAAGCAGCATCTTGGATACCAGGGAGTGAGCTTCCTATGATCTTCTTGGCTGTCTTTACCATTCTCTGTATGGACTTTCTATCTGAGGCACTGCTGCCATCAAACCAGACAGTGATGCAGTTTGTTAAAATGCTCTCAATTATGCCTCTGTAAAAAGCGGCCAGGACAAAAGGAGAAAGATGTGCTCTCCTCATCCGACGCAGGAAATGCAGACGCTGGTTTGCACACTTCACTAAGGATGACGTGTGGAGAAACCAATTCAGATTGTTAGTTATTGGGTTTTGCTCCATTTTATTACCTTTGCTGCCACAGCTGTTAAGCAAATCACTGCAATTGTTAACTAAGTCATACAGTCATTAAGTGAGTCTGGCTTCCCCCGTTGATTTTGCTTGTTGGAAGCAGACTGGGAAGTTACAAAAGGTGATCGACAGATCCTGGGATAGTGCAACTGTTATAAATACATCCCCGTTGCCAAGCACCTGAATGTTGATCACGTGACCGTGGCTACTGCACGGTCATTAAGTGTGAAAACCGGTCATTAGTCACTTTTTTCAGTGCTGCTGTAACTTTGGTCACTAAACAAATGGTTGTAAGTCAAGAACTACCTGTACTATTATATACACATTACATATATTTAAAGTTGCAGAAAATAACCTTATTAAACCCTTAAAAGTAATGAGATTTGTTTGTCAAATTACTAATATGGTGGACACTAAGCCTTTAGAAATAGTAAGGATTCCTTTTCCACACATTTGCCTCTTTACGTAGCTATTATGTTTTATCATTTTTCTCCCTGTTTTTTGTATTATAGCCCCTTGTATATGTACACTGTTTGTCAATCTATGACTTCAGCATGAATATATTGAAATAAATGAGTTGTAAATATGAGGGATTAAAATGTTGACACTGTCATAAAGATTTTAAGACAACAGGAATTTTATTATCTTGTTATACACATTGCATTTTGTAGTGTTAGAAATATTCACAAATCCTTTGCGGAATTCTCCCGTCTCAGAGAAAATGAATACCATTGTAACCTGTTTCTACTGTGACTTGCTGAATGCCTAGCTGTACATTTTTGGGTTTCACTGAAAATCTCTCCCTCATTTAATCTGAAGGTGTGAAGGGAATACTCATATTCAGTTCAAAAACATGTACAGGCTATCTTGTTGCTGAATATTAGATCCTCTTATAAGGCTGACTTGACACTCAAAACACAGACAAAAATCTTTCAACTTATCAAACATTCTTGAGTTGTTTTGGGGGTGTTTTCCTAGTGATTACTTACTGATTTCTTCTTTGCCTGACAGCCTGAGCAGTGCCTCATAGGATATCCCTTGGCCACCATACAATCGTCGGAGCAAGGATAATGGTAGCTTATAGAGATTTGAGTTCATCTGTTGAAATGAAAAAACAACATGATATCAAAGTTGATATAGCAATACATAAACTAATATTTCCCCTGTTCTCAACATTCTATTTCCATCTTGACCCCATCTCTTAGGCACATCCCTTTTCAATATGTAAGTATTTTCAAAGTATAATTCCTCATAATCTGTACCGTGCAAGAAGCAAAATCATAGCTGAAAATACCTACTGCAACCTCTCAGCTCTTTCTTATTTGAGGCTCAGTCCAATGAAGGGCAAAACCAAACATGTTAAATGCTATCTTGTTTCATTTGTTCAGCAGAATAAATATGTAGTAAACTTCATTAATCCAATATGTAGTTGCTAAATAAACAACCCCATCCTCATTCCAGGAAATTACAGGATTCTTGTCTTCAGTTCAAGTTGCTGGTTGTTGACGTCAAAGCCCTACATGGCTTAGGACCAGGTTACCTGAAAGACTATCTTTTCCCAGTTACATCTACCCAAGCCACCAGAGCATGGAGGCAAGGAATGTTATGAATTCCCTCTCCTAAGGAGGTCCACCTAGCTGGCCAAGAAGAAGGGCCTTCTCTGTGGTGGCTCCTTCCGTGTGGAACATTATCCCCACAGAGTTAAATTGGCCCTCACTTCAACACTCTTTCATAAGGCCCTAAAGCAGGGGACCCCAACCCCTGGTCTGTGCACCAACACCAATCCACAGCATGGCAAAAACCGGTCTGCGCAAACAAGCGAAGCCCCATTCGCTGGATGCAGGCAGCACACAAAACCACACCTCCTCTGGTCCGTGGAAAACCCTCTCTCCACAGAAACGGTCCCTGGGGCCCATAAGGTTGGGGGCCTCTGCCCTAAATGATCTGGTTTTGCCAACAGGCCTGGGGACCCCAGAGTGGGATGGAGCCCATCAAATGGCTCATTTGATTGTTGGGTAAGGGGTATTACTTTTTGTTTTTGTATTGGGCTTTTATCCTTATAAGCCACCCAGAGTCACTGAGAATGAGATTGACGGCCATATAAATTTTCTTAACTAAATAGGTTTCTCTCCAGCCTATTCCCCAAAAGCCTCTCTAATTCACTGAACAATAAGGAGGAGAAGGTGCAGCACAATCAGACCTGTAATGTTCTGTTGTTATAGCCAATTTCAATAAAAGTAGTTTTAGCCTTCCTGTGGAGATGATTTCCTGGTCCAGTTTGATCTCCCTAGTAGGGTTGACGGCAAGTGCTACAAAAATCTAATTCCACACAATACTATGAATTGAAGATATCATTTCTTTGCCGCAGGATAAAAATGGTCTGCTAGACATTTCCAGAGGACTTCACTTACTTCCTGTATCTTTTTTCAAAAATATGTTTTATTAATTTTTTAACATAATCATGTTAATATTTGGTAAACACTGTGTTGTCTGGGTTTACATTTAAGAAACATTCACTAACAGTTGATTTCTATAATCTAAAACCACATAATAACTTTACTTGATTTCCAACTTACTTCCTGTATCTTATTGTCCACCCACAGCTCTGAAAGTTTTTTTCCCCTCTATCCCACTTCTAGATGCTCTGTGCAAGTGAGAGACAATATATTGATATATATGGGAGGGGTAACCTGAAATGACATGGTCCATGAGGGGAAACTGTGGGTCCCGATGATTTTGTCAGTGCAACCAGGAAACTAGCCTTTATCTCTCTTAGAGATAAAGACCAAAACCCAGGTTTCCACAGCCATTTTTTAAATTTCCAAGTGGGTTGATCACCTATCAATTGGTCAACCTAGACAGTGTAAAACTCTGCAATTGACTGACTTGTCCCTGGCTTAATAGAAAGTGTAACAAAGTACTTCTCTATTTCTGACAGAAAACTCTCCTCACCGAATATTCTGAGAACAGAACACCAATTTCCACAGCTAACTCCCCCTTCTCAAATTCCAGACCTACCGTAGAAAACTTCATGTGAGTGTTAAGATTCTTTGACTGTGCTTTCTGAGAAGTAGCTACCAATATACTGACAATACCATCTAAACAAGTAATGTCTGCAAACCCTAATGAAATCTCTCCCTTCGGATGCCAATTCAATTGTAATTCCAGGTAAGAGCAGATTTTTACTTAAAAAGCTGCCAATTACCGCTCCTTATACAATATGTTAATCAGCCTAGAAGATGAAAAGAACGCTACTTTAACTTGGTGGTGGCTGCTGTAAGTAAAGCAATTTGAAGGAGGGGACAGAGCAAAGTGTGTCCAAATTTCAAGAACATCCAAAAATAAGGAATTGCTTTAAGAATGGTAAGACTATGGTAATTTGAGTCCTATTTTGGACTGCACAGAAGCAACAAGAAAAGATTATGATGGCAGAGGACAGAAATGGATTTCTCAGAGCTTTTTATCCTCAACGGATCTAATTCAGAAGGGATTTGACAAAAGAAGCCACTTAAGACTCCTTGCAGGCCTTGCCCCCAAAAGCAAATTAAAATGCATAAAGCCCCTTTTTTTTAACCGAAATGGGAGGAAGAAGGAAATTGTACCTCATCCTCTATTGAACTTCCTCTTTTTATATCTACGAATGAATGTCCCTTTTGTATCAGATTAGATGACAGTCTCTTCTATAGATTTGGAACAGAGAAAGTTGATGTGAGTTTTAGCTTATTCTGCCAGGAAGTACTGTATTCAATAAATGCACGACAAGCCTTAACTGTGGTCTGTGAATGTTGTAGAAGATAGTGGTAATCCTTGACTTACAGCAGTCTGTTTAGTGACTGTTTGAGGTTACAATGATAGTGAAAAAGATGACTTATGACCATTTTTTGCACATAATCATTGCAGCATCCCCATGGTCATGTGATCAAAATTCGGATGCTTGGCAACTGGCATGTATTTATGACGGTTGGTGTGTTCTGGGATCATAGGATCACCTTTGGCAACCTTCTGACAAGCAAAGCCAAGGGGGAAGCCAGATTCACTGAACAACTGTGTTACTGACTTAACAACTGCAGTGATTCACTTAGCATTTGTGGCAAGGAAGGTAATAAAATGGGGCAAAATTCACTTAACAACTGTCTCACTTAGCAACAGAAATTTTGGGCTCAAAAGTCGAGGACTACCTGTAAACTGCAGAAATTTCAGAACGGACTGCACCACCAGATTTTGCAGGATGGAAAGAGGCACATTTTTTAAAAAAATCCCCTTGCTAAAATAAATATCAAAGAAGACATCCTAGAAAAAGAGGCCCCAACCTCTGTTTGATGAGCTATCTCTGTATTTTGGTAAAGTTTGGTAAAGTGACATACAGGAGAAGCATTCCAAGGATGTGTGGGAAACAGTTCAGAGGGACTCAAGGGAGCCAGTAATTAAAATATAGCTATGAACTGAGGAAGAACTGAGAAAAGGCAAACTTAGATATTCTATTACCTGATGGCATCAACACATTTGTGTTAATGCAACTCAGTTAACTTAGTTCAGGACGAACAACAAAAAAACATAAGCAACAGGAAGATTAACTATCTGGTCAATGATGAACACAACAACAAACCCATCATGTAAGACAGTTACATACAGGCTGTGAGAAAAAGTTTGATGCTGAGGTTAAGGCATCAGGCTAGAAACTGGGAGATGGTGAGTTCTAGTCGTGCCTTAAGCACAAAGCCATCTGGGTGACCAGTCACTTTCTCTCAGCCCTAGAAAAGTGGCAATAGTAAGCTATTTCTGGAAACCCTTACCAAGAAAACTGAAGGGACTTGTCCAGGCAGTCTCTGAGAATCAGACATAACTGAACAGAAGAAGAAAAATACAAGCTATAAGCAACAAAAGCAACTGTTGTATCTCTTCTTATCCTATTCCTTAACTTCAAGGTTCTCAGCTTGAAATTAGCTATTGTGCTAATTTCTCCCAGTACTATTTCCTACAGCTTTAAGTACCATTGATCCAAAGATTTTTCTGCTTCCTTAAGAATTCCTACTCAACATCCTGAACAAATACCTTAAAATTTTGGGGAAATGCCAAAATCAGCCCCAAACTGGCAATTTGAGACATTGGGGGGGGAGGAGATTTTTGGGGGAGTTGGATAATGTAATCTTGTGATTCACTTAACTCCTGCTTAACAACCATGGCAACTATGGCAAAAAAAAGTTGTAAAATTGGGCACAACTAACTTAACAACTGCCTTGCTTAGTGACAGAAATTCCGATCCCAGTTGTGATCCTAAGTCAAGGAATATAGGTATATTTTTCTTCATTTGCAGACAAGTTTTATTCTGTAGTCCCTCTGAGACATTCTCCCTAAATATGCCGGTACGATTTTATACATAGATTTAAAGCAGAGGGAGCACAGGAAGGTGGAGTGGTTTGTTTTGTTTTGTTTTATTTTGTTTTGTTTTGTTCTTTAGCAAACTGCCACACCATATATTCAATAACATTTCAGTTTGCCTCACCTTTGTTTGGACTCCGCTGGGCATCTGTTGCTCCAGAGACTCAATACAGTAACCACGATGTAGCTTTGCCACTAGTAAGGTGAGCAGCACTGTCAGCACAAGGGAAGACTTCATTGTGGGTTGTTGTTGTTTTTTTCCCTGAGGGAGGAAAAGCTTGGAAAGGGGGGAAAAACATAATTAAGGGGTGCAGGGGAATTCAGAAATAGATAGTGTGTGGGGGTGGGTTGGAGGAAAAGTCAGCATAGAAAAGTGTCAGGTGCAAAGAAATATAAACCATTCCATCTTTTGTGATGGTATAAAATGAAGCTATTTTTTTTTCATTTTTAGGAAATTCATCTTCTATTATTAGATTTCAACTACAGAACAGAACTTACTTTCTGAAAATAGGAAAGCAAATTCTAAGTATTCAGAAAATGTATTCCCATTCTCTATTTGGTGAACATGTTCATTAAATGTACATCAGTGAACACAAATATTTTTGCAGCAGATTAAAATAAATGTTTTTGCTTTTTCTTCTAAATTCAGGGTTTTGTTTTGCTTTGGTTGTTTTCATTCCACTCTTCATTTTTAATCAGCTATATTCATCTAAAGATGACTTCTTTTTTTTCCTCTATATATTAATTTAAGTAGTTCTAGTCAGTGCTTATTCTGGATCATATCATGTGGCATATGACCCAGAAAGAAAATTGCCTCCATTTCAAAAAAGTCTTTGATCTTTAAGTTCAATATTTCTAAACCTGGGCTAATTATACCATTAAAATCCCCATAATTAAATCTACATTTCTAGGTACACATATCAATGACCCAGGTTATCCCAATTTACCTGTTGTCTGTGTAGCATATAAATACTAACAGATACCTTAACATTCTCCCTTTAGATTTCAGCCTTAGTATTTGAATTTCATCTTTATAATAATTTCCAGAATTCATTTCTTCTATTTTCATGTCAAGATAAACTAACATTAGACTCATTATACTCCCTTTAGCACACCCCATTTTTTGGTCCTTCTTGGCCTATTTATAAAAACACATGTAGCTAGATAACATTACCAGGTTATTTCCTATCAACTAAATTTCTTAGAGAAAAATCATATAATCTTGTAGAAAATGAAAAAGAAACATCCTACCTGTACATTTACCCAGTAATATTCCAGGATGCACATTTAACTATAGAAGTCATCATGTTAGCTTTTTGTCAACTCTGTTGATTAATCGCATTTTGGATTTGGAACTCATGACTATTTTGCCTTATGCTCTTGCAAAGACTCCTGCTATTGTGTTGGATTATAATATCTGATAGTCTCTGGTCCCTTCTTTTTAAAAAATATTTGCATCATCCTCTAGCCATTTCATAGATTCTATTACATTTAAATTTTAAAATTGAATATTTTTGTAAACATAATTATTTTTAACCCCAGGGATATTTGGTGTAAACTTGTATGTTGAATCCTACGCTTCCTTAAAGGATCTCAAGTTCGATTCTATTTCTGATTGCTTTGTGCTTTGTGCATTTCTGCAGTATCTTGTAAACTCCTACACTATTTATCTTCATTGCCTTATCCATCTGAACTGGCAATGGATTTTGTGGTGCTCTGTGAATCACTGGTTGTTCCAGATTATGTCCATTTATATAACTTCCTTCATGATCATTAACCGTGTTTACTGTATATTGCTTTGCCAGAGCTCTTTCTTTTGATAACACACGTCATTGGGAGATTTACTTCTGCATTAATTAGGCTTTTCACCAGCTGTGTTTTTCCACTATCCCTAGCCGGGTTGGTATGTTCAATATCCTCCACTTGTGATATATGTATGTATGTATGTATGTATGTATGTATGTATGTATGTATGTATAAAATCTCAGATCTTTGTATTTTCAACATTAATTAATTCCAGTTGTTTTTATAAATTTCACTGAGTGTTTAATTTTGGAAGTTTCTTGTTAACTCTAACAAAAATGTATTTAACATACCCTTTTCCTTCATCACCTGAAATAGCAATTGCTGTAGTTTCCGAAGTCATGATTGCTCTGGCATTTATATAGTTATAAAACAGACACTCAATTTTATTTAGATATTTTGTTGAGAAGTCAGTTGCATCTAAAGATGATATTAATGAACAATTTTTTTTATCAAACTGGGTCTGTAAACTACTAGGTTCAGGATAGTTAATAAAGGTCAGTTTGCTAGGGATCGATTGTAAATGCCAAGTATTTTCTTTAATCTCAATATTTATTGAATAGCTGTTAAAAGAGGAAGATTCAACTGAATCAATGTGTATTACATTTACTAAAGTCTATATTTACTGTCTGTGTCTGATTCTATGAAGCTTTCTTGTTTGTCCCTACAACTCTGTATTCGATTTGTTTTGCAATATCTGCTTCTCTTGATTTTTCTTGTATTTGCATGTTTTCCTGCCTGAATTAGAGACTTTTCTGATTGTTTTCCATTTTTGTATTTAGTTTCCATGATCTACACTACAGCAATTTGCTTAGCTTGAATTTGTTGATTTAAACAACTCTAGGTTTTTAGTGTTTTACTTTTCTTGACTTGATTTCCCCTTTTATTAGCCTTCTTAATTTAACTCTTTATTTTTTGTTTTCCAGTTATTATTTCTATCTCCTCTCCTTCAAATCAAATATCTTTATTATGGTCTTTGACCAGCCTTTACACTATTATTGTTGTTGTTGTTGTTGCAGTAAAAAGGAATGGTTTAATACAACAATTAGTTGTTAGGGGAAGGAAAAAATATGGGACAATGAAACAGCATCTCTAATTAAAATCTTTTGCAGTTGTGTGACTTGGTAAAAACAATTGGCCACTTGATGTGTAAATGTAGGATTAGTGTCCCTTGAAATCTCATGAACATAAACTGTATCTGCAAGGCCCTCTACCTTCTTAGAACCATAGGGGCAAAGTCTCTGTGAATAAAGGGTCCCGTGAAATCTTCCCTCTAGTAAGCATCAAAATGGGCTTTAGAAAAGGACCACCTATATCTGCTTAGTGTTAAATTGTACAAGTATCCCACAATGGAGGGCTTGTGACTGCCTAATAATTGGCGATAGGTTTGGGGCACTGGTGATATCATTTTGTCAATCAGTGTGTCTGGTTCTCTCTTTTACTATTGATTTGATCTTCTCCAAGGTTAATTGGGCTAAATACTTAGGAGAGTGGCCAAGACTATAGATTTTTCCACTATGCAAGTATGGTGCCAATGGGATTGATAATTGTTTAACAGCAGCAAAAGCATCAGGCCTGTAGCTCAAACATGATTCTGAGATTTTGAGACTAGTTTCCTAGTCCAGGCCTGAGCCTTAAAACTAGGCACATTGTTTCAAGCCTTGGTACTGCATTGGGGATGCATTTTGGGATGTCAAAGAAGGTCCTGAGAAAATTTGATTGAATTGCTTCCTAAGTCTTCAGGTTTATGTATGACCCGATTTGTATGGCAATTTAACTGCTGCTGGGATATAATTTGCCCCTTGTTGCCCATGAAATTTAATTATTGCTTGTGAACTCTTTTGGGCAATAAAAAAGATATAATTTACATGGGCTGTTAATTTTTTCAAAGTCTGAAATATTATGCCCAATACTTAAAAGCTTTTGACCTGTTCCAGTTCATGGGAATCAATTGTCCATTTATACTTTTGTCTCTTGTTAGAAAAGACTAGCACTTTAGATTTATCATAATTAATTATGAAATGATCCTCATTCAGTAGGATGCCCGGGTTGTTAGTGCCCAATTTATGCCTACAAAAGACAAGGAGAAGAGAACTGCATCATCAACATAAAGTAAAATTGGGAGATGTGTGTTGGCTAGTTTTGGAGTGGGGGTGTCCACTCTGTTAAAAAGCAACAGTGCAAGGATTCATCCTTGTTTCACCCCCTAGATGGACTCGATAAAGTCGGAAAGGTCCCCTTCCCAGTTGCATCTTACTCAAAGTCCAGTTTTATCGTATAATTTATGAACTGGGAGCAGGAGTTTTTTATCTGTGGAGGATCTGCTCAGGGTGTCCCAAAGTCTTACCCTTGAGATGCTGTCAAAAGCTACTTTGATACCAATAAGGAGCAAGGTAGTGCAGGAGCCCAGTAGTGCTGCTTTGACAAAAATGCAAGATTGATCAAACAATTTATTGATCCTTCCTGATCAGATGGCCTTTTGCCTTTATTATAAAAGATTGGAGCTTAACTGTGAGATCGTGATATGCATCAACATTCTACTATCAGGTGAGCTAGTTGGGTCTGGGTATGCCCCTAAGTTGCAGAGGGTTGAAGAATACATTATTCCTTCCTCTGATTGAAACCATTGGGCTATCATATCACTGTTAACCTTAACAAACTTAGTAATTCATTAGAATTTCCAATAGTTAAGCCTGGGGTTGGGGGATCATTTGTATCCTCAGTCTCTGTATCTCCCAACATAGTCCAGTTCCTCTCTAAGGGAGTGTCATTTCTTGTCAACATGTAAAATTGTTGATTCATGAGGGCAAATTCTTAGGATAGGTTCAACCAGCAAAGTGTAAACATACACTGAGGTGCTAATGACAGTCATGCAATGATTTCATTATAGGGCCTTCCTTTGGGGGAATTGAGCCATTGTCTAAAGAAGAGTTAGATGAAGGTCTTATTGGAGAGGGGAAAAAAATCTGTGATCTTGGCTTGGCTTCCCCCTTCTTTACAGTCTTTTGCTACTCCTGTTTATGGCTCTAGCTCAGGGGTCCCCATCCCCCGGTCCATGGACCGGTACCAGGCTGCGGCATACCAATAACCAAGCTGCACAAGCAAGCAAAGTCCCATCCGCGGGATGCAGGCAGCACACAAAACCATGCCCCCTGATGATAGCTTCCTCTTGTGTGGACCAATTTAAGTTTTTCAATAATAATAACAGCCCTCATCATCATATTCTCAATCATGCTTCCATCCTTTTGCAGTAAATTATCATAATGATTACCAACACTGGGAACATATAGAAAGATGATACAAGCAATTTCTTATAAAGAGTTCTTTCACAATCAACAAAACTAACATAGTTGATGAGATCACTCAATGACTTTCAAGCTGCATTTCTGTTCAATGGGCTTTAAGCAGCTAATTATTTACATATCTGCAATACTTCTGTATTGATAGAATTCCTTTGTATTTTTAATAATTGGATTGCTCAAGACTGATCATTAAGACTGCTACTATGGTTCATTTCCCTTTAATTATAATCTTCTTAGCTTAACCTTTTTTTACTCTTGCTTCTTTTATGCACACTTATATTACCCTGAAATTTTAACTTACATTAATTAATTTTTGTATTCAGCTGTGCAATATTTTAAACTAATGGCATGATATTCATACAATTTTAATCCTTATAAACTTTATACTCTAAATTTATAATCAAGATTACTGCTAGTTTATATTCACGGAAACATAAACTTTTTCATTGCTTTTGATATATTAATGTTATGTTTGTTCACAGATATGGATGTGTCTTTAATAATATCTCCTGAATATAATCCAGATATCCTTATGGCAGATATATTTCAGTGGTTTTTCCAGTTTTAATGAATGCACATAATAAATACATTCTAACAAGTTATATGTTTGGTGGGGGCTCCTAAGAAACTATTAGGGTTGCATTATATTATAAGCTTTAGGAGAGCAGGGAATAAATACAAACAAATTTTCATACAGAGTATCACCAACTTTCCCATATAGAATGTATAAATTCTATAACGACACACTTCAGATTCATCTGATGTATTCTGCAGATAAAAAAAAATCTGTCATTCTTTCAAACCTTTTAATTGTTCACTGTAAAGTTGTGTTTTAGAACTCTTTTAATTCCATAATTAGCTTTTTAAAATTGTTTTAAAGTGTTTCTTGGGTGTTTGCATTAAATCTTCACTTTTCAAATTGCATTTAAATTTTTTAGGGGTTTTAATCCCTTTATATGTTTTGCATATGAATAGTAAGTACTTTTGAATTCTAACAAAAGGAAAGCTCGTAGGCTGAATGAATAAGTTAAGGATCATATTTATAACCTCCAATTCTAATTTAAAATAATATATGCATGACTTTTCTTAATATGCATATAAACTTTATGTCTATGTGATTTGTACAGTATGCATACAAATAATATATAGCAAAGCCCCATGAAATTCTCTTATATTTATTTAGGCAAAACACCTGTATTTTAAGTTCTATAATTCTGTGAAGAATACATTTAGACAGAAACACATTTGCTTATATTAAGACTATAATACCATATAAAACAAATGTGCTATTAGATTTTTCATTCATCTACTTTACCACATTAGGGGACTGGAGGCTAAAACATATAAGGAACGGTTGCTGGAATTGGGTATGTCTAGTTTAATGAAGAGAAGGACGAGGGGGAACATGATAGCAGTGTGCCAATATCTCAGGGGCTGCCAGAAAGAAAAGAGAGTCAAGCTATTCTCCAAAGTGCCTGAAGGCAGGACAAGAAGCAAAGGATGGAAACTAATCAACAGAAACAACCTAGAACTAAGGAGAAACTTCCTGACAGAACAATTAACCAGTGGAACAACCTGCCTCCAGAAGTGGTGAATGCTCCAACACTGGAAGTTTTTAAGAAGAGACTGGACAGTCATTTGTCCGAAATGGTATAGGGTTTCCTGCCTGAGCTGGGGGTTGGACTTGATGACCTCCAAGGTCCCTTCCAACATTATTATTATTAGTAGTAGTAGTAGTAATAGTAGTAGTAGTAGTAGTACATCTAAGCTTTTGCTTTTTCATTTTTGCAATGCAACATTTAACTGCACCTCACTCATACATGCACTCAAAACCTGATCAGCCATCCACCACCATTCATGCAACAGCTTAAATATACATAACAATCTTTGAGCAGTCAGCAGTCCTGATTAGCAATTAAAATAGACTACCTGGGGCTCTTTGTTTTATTAACTATTTATTTTTTCTGTACTACTCTTGGATTATGTGAAAAATGTAGAAGTAGTTTGTGCATTCAAAGTCTTCAGAGGTGAAGCAGTCTTTAGTATCCTAGGATGGTGTTTGCCTTATCAAAGTAGCTACTGTCTTTCTTACTCCACGAGTATGAAGGCAATCAACACATGCATGTAAACACTTGTGTTATACACATGCCGGTTCTCAAGATGCCAGGCCTTCTTCAGCCTTCTGTGGGATGCATACTCAGAATCCTTGCAAATGATATAAAATGTATACCTTAATACCTTGTGTACCTTTTTTCATGGACTCAGCATGACTAAATCCTAAGTAGGGTCAGGAAGGGACTGGCCAGGAAGAGGCAAGCATTTCTCTACTCATTGCCACTCTATCTAAATGTTTGTCTCTTGCTCTACAAAGCAGAGGGACAATTGCTACCAACCTTAATCTGGCCCAAAGTATCAGACTAGGTACAGAAGGCCATTATTGAGCATTACATGAAAAATCATAATATTTTAGATCTGGAATAGATTTTTTTTTTCAGTTTATTTGGTACAGTCCTGGAACAAGGGAAAAATTATTAAACCCTTAACAGATTACCATTCTGACATTGCTTCAGCATTTTCAAGCAAAAGAGAATCCATTTGGAGGAAATTTGTCCACTGTCGAATAACCTACATTGTTAAGGAATTTCTCCACATATTCAACAAAGTCTGTTTTCCTATATTTCAATCCTGCAATGTCTTATGCACTGCAGCAATTCAAATAGTTTAATAATGTTACCATATCATAACTCCATGCATCTCTTTTGTTGGGGTGCATAAGAGCTCTCGGCATCAGACACTTGGATTCTATACATTTATATTTATCTTCTATTATCAATTCAAAACAACTAACTGACATTCTCTACTCTGGCTATCTATTATTCTCCTGTTTAGATATCCATGAGAACAGTCTGAATTTGGGGCTCTTTGTCATAGTGGCCAACCAGATGCCTCTAATGTTAAGTTTACAGTTAAGTAGGCAAGACACAGGACAACCCTTCCAGCTGTTATTCCCTTGCAGCTGATATCTAGCTCCAGACCCACAGGTAATGTTGAATTTTCATGAATTTATCCAATCCCTTTTAAAACCTTGCAAGTCAGTGGCCGCGGTAGCAAATTCCCTAAGTTCTTTATGGTTTGTGAAGAAGTGCGTTCTTTAGTCTATTCTAAACCACCTTCCCCCGTCATTCCCTTTTCATTAGTATCGGTGATGGATGATGTGACAGTATCATAAACAAAATGACCTGTGGAACATTGTCAAAGACCTCATATAGATCGGAAAGGCAGGAAGAATGCCAGCCAGGCAAGACTCCCCCGCAGTGAAAACAACACCACCATCCTCAATAAAGTTAGACAAAACTTTCGCATGTCCCTCCGCTCCCCACTCTGTTGCTCTTGCCCTCAAATCGCTAGCTTTTCCACCGCCATCAAAATCCTACCCGGCCACTTGATGAAGGAGGGCAAGCGGGCTAGCAGCCTCGGTGAGCCGTCTCCGTGCCAGCGGCGAGAACTGCCCTGCCGAGATGGGCAGGGAAGAGACTCTTTCCGCAGCTTCTGGCTCCCGGACGAAGAGTTTGGTGTCCTTCGTGCGCAGCAGCAGCAGCAGCAGCCGCGCTGGAGGCAAAGCCCAAAGTCGACGACAAGAGTTCCTCGCCGCCTGTTCCCGCCACTTTAATAAAGGGCGGGCTGCGGTGGATTGGAGAGCGCCGATAGGGGGTGGAGGAGAAAGGGAGGAAGGACCCACGGAAAGCGACCTCTTCTCGCGCAGCACGCCCACGCGGACCATTGCACAAGTTTCTCCACTGGTTTGTCACGCACACATATAGTTAACACACAACAAATCTCACAGATGTCATCATATCTACCATATAATGATGCACACATGCATATCTCACCTCTCATAATGTGCTACCTCCACAATACCTTCAGAGTCTCCGCTATGCCCATCCATTGGCTGGACGTCTGCCTTTGCAGGAAAATGGTGTAGCCCTTCACTTGCCAAGCCTATTCTTACTTAATTCCCCTGGGTTTCAGACATATTTAGGTCCACATGCACACAGATCATTTTGGAGTTCATATCTTACCACTGGCTTTTGAAATTGCCCATATCCCAGAGTGTCAGTAATACACAACAGTGGCAGCAGAATTTTTCTCTAAATAACTTGTCTGAAGGCTCTCTCAAGCTAAGTTCTCCTCCGTGGAAGTTGCCTTTGGATGCACAATCTAGCAGAAAATATAAAACATTGACCTACCTACAGCATGATCTCTGTCCTGTCAGCATAATTTTCAATGATTAAGAACAGTAGCTGAACTTACAGTGAAGTATCACTGTGATCACCAGAAGATGGACCCAGTCCCATCCACATGATGCCTAAACAATACAAAATAATTTTATTATATATGGCAGTGGTAGCGAACCTATGGCACGCATGCCAGAGGTGGTACTCAGAGCCCTCTCTGTGGGCACGCGTGCCATCACCCCAGCTCCGCCTCCCCCGTGGCCCCCTCCTCATCAGCAGCCCCCCCCCCGGAGGACAGTCACCCCCAGGTGCAGCCCACACAGACCAGCTCAGTGGGGCAGCAGGGACAAGACTCCACCCTTGTGCCCTGTTGCGTGTAGATGCTGCTGTAGAGCCCGGGCGGAAGGTGTGGCCGCCATGGCACTGCAGGGTCACTGGGTGATCTGCGGTGGGTCATGGAGGTGGCGGGTGGCCCTGCAAGGTAGGGTGGAGCAGAGCAGGTGGGGCTGGGGCGGGGCGGTTTTTGGGCACTCGGTCTCTAAAAGGTTCGCCATCACTGATATATGGGATATGAATCTACAATATTTATGTTCTGATTTTCTTTACTATATTGATGTTGTTTTATTGATAAAATGGATGTTTTTGTACCTCTTGTACAATAGGTGATTGTATTGATAGGGACTACATCTGTGGAATACAAAAGTCTGTGCCCTGCCTTAGGATTGGAGAAGTAGAATTAATCTTTTCCTGTTGGCTCTAACTCCTGGTGACCAGCATAATACCTCATGGTAAGTCCAGCTTTTGATCTGTCACAAACAATAGCAAGTTCTGTTATTAATTTACTGACTTATAAGAAACAGATGAAATCACAGTTTCTATTTTCAAAGTGTCCAGGTATTGTATTCTCTTGCTTTTCTCTTCTGCTTTATCAGTATTGAGAGTGAGGTACAAAAATTAAGATGGCAATACTGACACTGAGTCAATTGTCACCAAGCTAATTGACTTTCAATGCACTATGGACCTGAATCCTGGTCAGACAAGTGGGGAAATCTTCTGTTGCATCAATTATTAAAGGGTGATATGATAACATTTAAAGTGGGAAATATACAAATCCAGTTGTGGTAATTTCTTTTTTTTATAGATGAAGACTGTATCATTACAGTGAAGATGGCTGAATTATGATTAAAATGTTTGGAAATGCTTGCACCATTTCATCCTCAACAGACATGCATTGTTTATCTGTCCATCACATTTCCAAGTCTTATACCGTACCTGTTACTCTGACAGAGTCTTTTTGTCTGTTTAATTCACTTGTCTATGGAGATTCTCAGTCATCCAGGTCATGGTTGTCCCAGAGGTGCTTTTTCACGAAGCAACTGACTTTTTTTCTCTTTGAAGACGTTTCGCTTCTCATCCAAGAAGCTTCTTCAGCCAGAACCAGAATAGAGAATTCTTAGACTCGATAATGGAGAAAGAGCCTTCTATTTCTCCTGGAGCTGGCACAAAACAATAAAACTATAGGAGTTTGTCTATGCCACATCAGTTCTTTTTTTTTATTTAAAAAGTTTTATTAACAATTAACAAAATAAACCCACTAACCCACCCATCCCCACCCTCCTCCCCCCCCCTTCCCAGAGCCGAGTACAGGGTTATTACAAACATATTAAACATAATCTAATTAAATTCAACCAATAGGTTAAACATAATCTAATTAAATTTAACTATTTATACAACAACTAAATTCATACTTAACCCTTAACTCCCTTTAAACCTTAATAACATATTATAAACAAATCCATTTTTAAACAATTATTATAAAAAAACATAATAACAGTAAATAAACTAAATAATTCCAATTATAAAATACTGTTAATAATACTTATTATATTAAAATTTAATCATAGAATAAATGGAACTTTTTAGTTCCATATTTAATCTGAATATAATCTATCCATCTTCTCCATACCATAATATATCTTTCTTGTGTATGATCCTTTAAATAAACAGAAATTTTAGCCATTTCTGCTAAATTAGAAACCTTAAGGGTCCATTCTTCTATTGTAAGCAACGAATCTTTCTTCCAATATTGACCTATCAATAGCCTTGCTGCTGTAATTAGATTCAACATTAAAATAGTTTCTTTGACATCAAAATCCTCAAAAATCCCTAATAAAAATAGTTGAGGAGTAAACTTTATCTTCCTTTTAAAAATATTTTGAATGTTCCACCAAATCATAATCCAAAAAGCCTTAATATTTTTACAAGTCCACCAAACATGAAAATAAGTTGCATCAGAACTACCACATCTCCAACATTTGGGCTGTAAGTTAGAATACATACAAGACAACTTTTTAGGATCCAAATGCCACCTGTAAAGCATTTTATAAAAATTTTCCCTTAAATTTTGAGCCTGTGTAAATTTAACATTTCTAATCCAAATTATCTCCCATAAATCCAATGGGATCGGTTCCTGGATATTCTGAGCCCATTTAACCATACAATCTTTAACCAATTCCGTTTCCGAATCCAATTCTAGTAACACGTTATACATTCTTTTTATATGAGCCTTATTCTGATCTTTAATCTGAATTACCAAATTTTCATCTCCTAATGTTATTCCAACTTTCTTATCTAAAGTCCACCTATCCACTATTTGTAAATACTGAAACCATGACTGTAAAATATTTTCTTCCCTTGATACATCTAAAGATTTTAATTGCCAGTCATTACCCAAACAAATAAGTAATTCTTTATACGATTTTTTTTTCAAAATTCATCCCCTTAGAAATCCCCTCAATTGCATGTCCAGGAATCCCCCAAACAGGTATTTTATAATTTAACCTATAATAATATTTCTTCCAGACTCGAAGTAGGGCATTTCTTAAAATATGCGATTTAAAAGCCCGATCTACTTTCTTATTAAAAATTAAATATGCATGCCAACCATATAATAAATCCCACCCTTCAAGAGAAAGAATATTTTTATTTGTTAAATTAAGCCAATCACTTATCAAAGTTAATGTGGGGCTGCATCATAGTACAATTTCAAATTAGGCGCTTTAAGCCCTTCTCTTTCTCGAGCATCTTGCAAAATGTTAAACTTCACCCTTGGTTTCTTCCCAGCCCATATAAATTTATTGATACCCTTCTGCCACTCATCCAAATTAGCATCTTTTTTTAAAATGGGTATCATTTGAAACAAGAAAAGAAACTTTGGTAGGACATTCATTTTAACAGCTGAAATTCTCCCCAACAATGACAGTTGCAATTTTTTCCAATCATTTAAATCCTTTTTTTACTTTTGTCCATAATACTTCATAATTATTCTTATATAATTTCCCATTAGAAGCTGTTATATATACTCCCAAATATTTAACCTTCTTCACTATCTGAAAACCTGTAAAATTTCATTATCCTTCTCAATCATATTCTTAGATAATATCTTAGACTTATTATTATTTACTTTGAAACCAGAAACTTTCCCATATTGAGTTATAAGTTCCAATAAATGACTAACCAATTGAATCGGTTATTGTAAAGTTAACACCAAATCATCTGCAAAAGCTCTCAATCTGTACTCATTCTTATTTATTTTTATTCCCTTAAGTACTGTAGACTCGCGAATTTGAATTAACAAACTCTCCATTGTTAAAACAAATAACAAAGGAGATAATGGACAACCTTGTCTTGTACCCTTTTCAATATTAAAAGTCTCTGTCAATCCCCCATTAATAATAATTTGAGTAGACTGCTACTGATATATAGCCTTGAGAGCATATAGAAACTTATCTCCAAAATTCATTTTCTCTATTAATAAAAATAAAAATTGCCAATCTAATTGATCAAAAGCTTTCTCAGCATCCAAAAATATAAAAGCCGCAGGAATCTGATTATTCTTATCCAAATACAATCCCAAAAACAAAGAAGAAAGTTCTTGCCTTATATATTGAACAATCTATTAACTTTGTTGCAAAAGATCAAACAAGAAAGCCTAGCGCCATCTTTAACTTCTGTCACTTTCCCTTTCTTTTCTTCAAACAACAAAAAATCTTTTTGAAGAAGATACTTTTCAGGAGTTAAAGTCCCAGATGATCACAAATCTAATTTCTCCTGGTCAGCTCCATCTGCTTTTAAATACTCAATCTCACTTTAGGAAGCAGATGTAGAAGTGGCGTCTAGCTTTGTTCCTAAATTTCAGAACAAAGACGTCCTGGAATGCGGAATTAAACTCGGGCTCCAAGGGAGCTCTACCCTCTGACCTCCCTAAAATTGTGGGGGTCCAGGGGAGCTCTACCTTTACCCAAGAGGCTCTCCTCTTCCTCTTCTCCCAAGAAAAAAGGTTTTAAGCCGCAGAACAGCTGATTTTAGCTGTCTCCGCCGGCTTTTACGCGATCCCAGGGCGGACGGCTAAAAGAAAGCCGCCATTGGCGCGGCTGAGCACCACCGGAAGTCTATGCCACATCAGTTCTGATATACTTTCAGATTTTGTGTGCCAGTTTTTATAGCCAGTTATTCTCCTCTGGCTTTGCTTCTGTCTCCATTCAATGTGTCCCCAACCACTAGTGGGAAGTGCAGATGAATGGGGTGAATATGACTTCAAAATTGTGCCTGGAGCCTGTCTAGGCTGCCTTATCATGACCTCCTTCCATACTCCATATTTCATTTGGCGATCTAGAAAGAAAGAAAAAGAAAGAAAGAAAGAAAGAAAGAAAGAAAGAAAGAAAGAAAGAAAGAAAGAAAGAAAGAAAGAAAGGTAAGTAGACACTTGGGCAG